CGTTCCCCCGAAGCCTTTGAGGCGCCCTGGTGGCTTTCAGAAATTTGATTCTTGAAGTTTGTGTTACTGCGAGCTCCGTCTACTTCGGAGATTGTTCTGACGGGAACCAGCGCGAGCTATTATTTACCCCCGGGGTGCAATTGTTTACCCAGCAGTGGAGCAATTAGCCTCTCCCCAAAGCCGAATCTATATGCGACATTAACACTTTCCGGGGAAAATTGGAAATTGTTTTAATTGCGTCTGGTTTCCGTTTAATTGTAATTTGATTCGGTTCAATGTATCGTAAATTGCGACGACTGGAAAATTTATGTGGAACGAAATGAGATACTGTCGCAGGAGGTTACGATTGAGAGAAAAATTGCCAAATGCTACACTCCTGTGTCGAATGACAAGGTAGTTTCGATAGTAATTGAAACGACAGAGGTCCACTAGCTCGATTCTAAGCTCAGTTACGAAAAGCTAAAGGGTAACTAGGCCTAGCTACAGATAACTAGAGAGTAACTAGGCTCAACTACCATGCTTCAGTATGGTTTTGTCTACGTAAATGAGACTCTACCGTACACAAAAAATTGGAGAAAGGTTAACGAAGGTAGACGCGTTTCGATCTTGTACTTTCGACGCGATTCGAGAGTTCAGTGTCAAGGGGTGGTTGGCACGAGGAACGCGACGGTTCATCGAAACCAAAATTAATTCCTCTGTCCAACAATGCGGTAGACGCGATGAAATTTAGATGCGCCGGTTCGAGTGAACGTTAAACTCGGAGATCTCGGGTCTAGTGCTGGAGGTACGAGACTCGGGAATTATTCATCGGCTATCGACGCCAGAAGAGATTAAAGGGACGTCTGGTCTCGAGCCATAAAAATTACGGAACTTTCAGAGAATTTCTTTCCCATAAGTACACTGCGAATTTTATGCACTTAAGACGTACAACATATTCAACATATTATAATATATATATATATATATATATATATATATATATATATATATATATACAAAATATTATAATTATAAATAATGTTATAAAATTATAATATATTATAATATAATATTATATATAATATTACATATTATAACGTATGTTGAATATATTCTACAATTATTGTAACGTTATTTCATATTATTTATTATATTAATACTAAATTGAATTATTACTTTGTGCAACTAACTGTGTACAATAGTCCATACTTCTGTGACAAATTTTAAACCATCCTTATTCTCTTCGCTCTAAGAAACTATAATAATAATTGCAACAAATTTCTCCCACTGAGTCGATCAGAATACTATAATAGTTGTCGACACATCCAATCGTTCGTGTAACACGTCCGTATATCCTCGTTGTTTTCCAATTTATTTTTCGAAAGCAACCCTAGGAAAGCGCAGAGAAACGATGTGTTTTTTCAGACGACAAACCCGACTGCCCCCTCGAGGGTCGAAGGGGATCGCCTGGACACGCTCACCGACGCGGCAAGTTTGTTTCGAGGCAGATTAAAACTTTCTTCGCCGAGTTTGCCTAGACAAAAACGAGGCGAGAGACCCAGCCTGCACCGACAGTTTAGCACGGTGGAAAACAGACCCTTTCCCCCGCGATGCTCCCGTCCCCCATTCTTTCGACGTACCCTCTTCTTTAACGATCTTTCACCGGAAACGATGCCGTCATGGAAATTTCTCGCGTCTCACCCCTTTTCGACGCTCGACACCGAGTTGCCACCCCCGGTGGCGTTCAAACAACATAAAAAATTTCGAAGACTCCAATGGTGGATGCTCGAGAAACACGTTCGAGATATCGGAGAATTTCCAGCCCTCTGGAAATTGTTCGATTCTTTCAAAATGTATACTCTAGGAAATCGTAATTAACCTTCCATGGAATTTTATTTTCATCGTTTCAAAAGTAAATTATATCACGAGAAACATTGCACGTTTGTGTATCAATTTATAGTTAAAGCGAATAATATGCAAGCCTGCTGGCGTATAATTAAATTAACGAAGAGCGAGGATCGAGATTCAAGTTACAATAACAAAACGTGCGGTACACTTTCCCGATTAAACTGATATAAAAATTAAAGGCCGAATATTCTCCGGTGTAGCTCGATTATCAAAAATAATTATTCTCAATTTTCCCAGCAACAATCCTTTGACTGTTTAAAAATCGTAATTTTCTTACCGAGGGCTGGCAATTTAGGACGAAAATGTTTAATTGCGAATAACGCTCGACGTGATTACGCACCCGCGGTATTTTTCTCCGTTCCCAATTTTCCACCTCTGAATCAAAACGTGCCCCGCTTCAAAGTCAATTTTGAGGCGAAATTTTCCATTCAATTACGCGGCTATTCGCAATTACATTTCGGTTACTTCGCTCCGCGGAAAATGGAGATTTTCCAGAAAATAAAACCGCCGGGGAAAAAGTTCGAAAAACAATGATCGAAGAACGGTTCAGACACGGACGAAGTGTAATTGAAAAAATTCGCGTTGTTTCTGGTGACAGATTGATGAAGAAAAAAAAAAAAAAAGAAATTCTCCAACCTACGTCCATCGAAACTTCTCGCGAAAACCAAGCCGATCGTCACGCGTTTAATCGAACGAAATTGCTGTGTTCCTGTTTTTTTTTATTTTGCCTTTATTGGTCCGCCGTTTCCATTCGCGCGAAACAATTCCACGACCCTGGGACACTCGTTCCAATTAGACGAAATTATTTCGGTTCGATGGACAGCTAGGTTTGTCGATGGCACTATGCAACGATAAGAATATGGCCAGTGGATCTAATTGGTAGCAGAGCTCGTTGATCATACTGTAGAATTCTATATTATGATCTATACGATACTGTACAATTCCATAGTAAAAGACTGAGAGACAATACTGTGTGTACACTAGCCAACTTCTCGTAGCTGTACAGTAGACAAGAAACTGAATACGTACAACATTGATCGTACTTCAGGAATTTATTCCATAGAACCTACGATTCTGATAAAATTGTGCTCGCGGCACGTGAATATTTATTGCTCGTAAAGTTGGAAATAAAAAAATACTTTTTTATTTTCAACTGAAATTCCTTAATTTTTATCCAAAATGGTCTCTGTGTATGATCTACACGCCTTCTCGTGGCGTAACAATCTGCTTAATGTTCATTTTCCAAGAACAACGTAACATTCGAAACTATAATTTGAATAACAAATATCACCACCTTCTTCCCTGGTACGACCTCTACGAAAATCAACATTCTCTCAAAGTTTCGCCCACCAAATATCGACTAGCATCGAATAAATCGAAGCTCCCTTAAAACCGTGCTCGCTTCGAATTAATTGCTCCCCGCTGGTTTCTACCCGGTGTACACGGTGAAGTTCGAATGTCTTCTTCGTCTAAGTATGTATTAATAGCACGCGGAGCGTGGCTCAAATTGCTTTAGTTCCAGTTCGCGGTCGGCTCCCGTGGTACCACAGTGCAGACAGTCGTGATAAAGTTCGGCCAACGGTACTCAGTAGTGCAGTCTGAAATTCCGCGTAGCAGCTGCTGCGTCTGACTATACGTGACGTGTGTTCACTTAGCCTCGTTAGTAGCGCAAGGGAGATAAGGTCAGCCAGCGCGGCTGACCACTTACGAACGACTCTACTTCGGAGTCCTGTGGACTGTGCATTTCAGAGACGTTGCACACGAGGTGTACACATCCATTTAAACGTTAAATATGTAGTATATTTATGAACCCTTTGCACTCGAGATGCTTTCTTAGCATTCTGTCGTCACGAATGCTAAGCTTAGATTGACTTCGAAAATGAGATCTCTAATTTGAGATTGGAAAATCAGGTCACCTTTGCCTCAACGACAATCATTTTATCGACACCTCGAGTTCCAAAGAAATGAAACCTAAAGGAAACCCAGTGGTGACTGCGAGTCACATCTCGAGTGCAAAGGGTTAATCAGTACTTGATAGTATAGCTCGTGCTTGTTTAAAGTTTGGAAAATTTAGATGTTATTTTTGTTGGGTTTGAAGGGCAGTGAATTCTAAATGATTTTTTAATATATTCGGTATTTTTAAGGAGGATATTTAAATGGAGAATATAATATAAGAAATTACGGAGTATTAAATATTGTTACATTTTTGTAACGTTAGGAGTAATATGTAAATAAAGATTGGCCTCTATGTTAAATAAATTTGTCTATATTACGTGTATTAAATTGATCGCATTCGATTGCATTTCTTGAAATAATTTTTAATCTACACAGGGTCTGTACCTTTTCCATTTCGTGCGTGCTCCATTTTTGCAATTGTTGTTGAGAAGCAAACTCTAATTAAGATGAGAAAAATGGTTGCCTTCAACTGTTGGCCGATTATCGTGCCCTAACGCTCGAGAAATCGCCCACCTCTTGCGTAAACCTTAACCACGACGATTGTATCTTCGCTCCGTGTACGAACCCTCTCAGACCGTGAATGATTTTTTACCGAGATTAGGGGAAGATCGAGCGAGTCCAATTAACCGAGATTTAGAAATTTAACGAGAAACGTGCATTGGTGCACGGTTTATCGCTTCATCAAAAATTAAATAATAACACTCGATCGTACGATTTGGTACTTTTTAGAGAACTCTTTCACTGGGGGGGGGGGGGGGGAAAAGAGTAGTAACTGCATTTTGATCATGTACTCCATGATGTTCAGTCACTATGAGAGTGACTAACGTACTATTACTAGCACATTAATTGAAATTTTATGCGATATTATAAACCACAAATATAAATTTGTACGAATGGGAATCGTTATCTAATTTTGAAAGAAACCACTGATATCAGTAGTCTAATCTTGAGTGACGAGGGCAGCCATTGTTTCCTGGCATAGAACTAGAAATATAGTAATTGAGACCGTGTAAGAAATGATCGACTAACAAATATAAATTTGTGTAAATGGGAAAGATTATCTGGCATTGATTTCGATCGACCAATCTCGAGCGAGAAAGGGAGCTACTATTTTTCGTCACGGGCCTAATTCGAATATGTTTGATCTTCGACGACAGTCGGAGGTGTTTCAGGCAGCAGTGGCGGCCGCGGCAGCTGCAGCTGCAGGAGGCGGTGGTCAGCAACCAGCACCGACACCCGCTGGCAACGAGACCAGCCCCGAGGGTACCGTCGAGGGCAGCACCATGGTACCTGTCACTTCCGGTGCAACGACACCTGCAACAGCGACACAAGGCACCGACCTGAAAAGTCAACCAAAACGCCTTCACGTCAGCAACATACCTTTCCGTTTCCGGGACCCTGATCTCAGGGCAATGTTTGGGGTGAGTGCTCTCTCTCTCTCTCTCTCTATACTTTCCTTTCATCGGGAATGGGCGAAATTCCATTAAAAGAACACCCTGTGACGATTTATTCGTGACATTTATTCGTTTGAACGATTGACTTTTACAAATGACTTTTATTAATTGACTTAAAAGTAATTCTGTTTCACTATTATTGATTATTCAACCCGAGTGAAGGTATATTTAGTCCTCCACTGTGAAATATAGTTCGTTCTTAAAGCTGGAGTGGCTAGAATTATTAAAACTGCAACGAGTTATTACGTTGAATAATTGATATAAGTACTACGTAAATTATTGAGACGATTCATTCTCCGTAATTTTATCAAAGAACCAGATAAAGAATTTGCCCATCCCTTCGTCCGTTTGCACGTAATTTAAAAGGATCGCTTCTGCTGTTCACGATATTCGTCTTTTCAACTTATGAAACGCAATTCTTATGATAGTATTAACATCGAGAATTCGAACGTCGTTTTTCTTGGAGTGAAAAATATAGTAAAAGTATTTGGTTTTTAATTATTTTTTTAACGGTTTTGTACGTTTGCTTTCGGAGTAGTTTTTATAGTGTTATGTTCTCGAGACAACGTTGCTTTTCTCTTTTTCAGCAATTCGGGCCAATCCTCGACGTGGAAATCATATTTAACGAAAGGGGAAGCAAGGTAAGCTCACGTCGCCCTTAGGCTGCGAGCCACCCCTGTCAACCCACCCCCGAAAATACTGTTAGACTTAAGTCACACTGTCGGCTCGAACGAAATCCTCGTTCCTGGGATGAATTCGCTTCGCGCCACCTCGAGATCTACCCTCAACTCCCTTATTCCATCGTTGAACGTTAATCCACCCTCAGCTGCGAATCCCACCTCTTCGCTCCTCTATTATTTATTGTATACTTAACATATCATCTACTTTATTGTCCAGATATTCCATATTGTATTATGTATCAGTACTGTACTATGCAGATATTTTACATACATATATATATATTCCTATTTTCATAATAAAACAGTGAATTCAAAGAGAACCAAAGTAAAATCATTCCAAACATTTCCTTTATCTTATCCATTCCTATTAACGATTTATATTATTTCTTTGTAAACAGAACTCTTAACTTGAAATGAATTTAACTCGTCAAGGAATAATTCTCATCAGCATTCCAACGGATTCTCCATCGACAGACCAACTCCTACAGCAACTTTCCCAATTTTCCTGCTCCAGGTGCTTTCGTCCATCCTTTAGCGATACGTCGTGATTTTTCCTCGGACATCACGTTCGCTTATTGGAAAACTTCAGGCGATGAGATACCCCAGTGGCGAGGACGTCACGATGCCGTAATCATTTCTTCGAGGAGACGCAGCTTCGCAACGTAATCGCATCAGAATTCTCAGCTCCTGCTTCTTCTTATTCGTCAATTACAATTTCATTCCGCGCTTCGATTTTCGGTTCAACGAATGTCAGCCAAAAATTCGCGTACCATTTGTTCGTTGGTCAGAACGTTCCAGATCAAAATTTTGCCTCTAGTTTCCAAAAAATTCGAAATTGGAACGTTGCGTCTTCTCGTTCTGTACGTTCTTTTGCAGCGCGGCGGCAACGACGTGCCATTTTGTAAAAATGGTATCTAATAAATAAAAAAAAAAAAACAAAAAAAAACTCACGGTGCCATTGTCGAATTAAGGGTTCTTCTACCCCTGGATCTCGCGCTGAAGATATATACAAAATTCACGAGCGTATAATCTCAATGGCATAAATAAGTAGAAATATAAAATCGAGCATAATCTAACAGGAAATCGTGGTGCATCGGAATTTTTATATTTCTTTTTACACAAGTCAGATTCCCAGGTCCCCGGTCGTTAACGCGGCTATTTTTACCAACTCTCTAGTAGATGAATTTTATTTCACGCGGAAGAAACTGCGACGGACAACGACGTCCCATAATTCATATTTCTTACACGCGATCTTCCACGGACAGCAGGATTCGATGAAAGGGCGCAATCAGGATTCTAAATTCGATCCCCGTCCCTAGCTAGTCGCAGACAATTACTTCCAATGGCCTTTCATATTTCTCCACAAAAGACCTCGTCGATTCTGCAATATATCCAACGATGGCTGCGATTATTAACTTTGGGATTGGATGAATTTTTCTTTAGGGAGGTTTGCTCCAAATGGTTAGATGAAGTCACTGTTTTTTGCTCGCAGGTGTCTTGATTTATTTTGTGGATTTTAACGACTGGTCTCTCTTGGAGCCCAAGATCTAGATATCAGTTAACAACCGATAGAGTTGTAGATCAGGCACGACTGCTACCTGTTTTTCATCCGGTGGATTTTTATGATCTTGACTGATGCAGGGTGTGTTCACATTACTTCTAGTCTCGTCTATTTCCTCCTTTACTTTTAAGACTAAAAATTGAGATTTTCTGTACGATCTCGACGATCTCTACCAGTATCGAGCTCCAGAGAAAAATGCAGCTACGTTCGTTCGGGAAACGTACAAGGAAGTCGTCGAAGTAAGCCCGTGGGAATAAAAAAGAAAGGTGAGCCACGGAGTTCGTCACGGCGGCAGAGAGTTTGAAATGCAAATAGGTTTCAATATGGATGACAACGGTCTGGATAAGATCCGCAGTAATACATCGTGCCGACAGCTGGCATCCGGTGAGCTTGCATATTCAGCGTCTTTGCGTCAAGCACACTCAAGTGCACTTCGTCAAGCTCCCGCGGTACCGGTAACCTATTAGCGTAGGGGGCTGCTGACGACGTCACGCACATTCGTCCATTGTCCACTCGATGATGATCGAGCTTCACCTCCGCGGAGCCTGGCGACTTGCATCTGGATTGGATTGTTTGGCCAGGAACGCTTGCTTAGGGAAGCTTTCAATCTACTGAGAGTGTACAGCGTATCTTGATTGCGCTGGTCACTCGAGGAGTCCAAGGTATTCTCTTTGAAATGTACATACGTTTCTGTACTTTGGAATTTAAGGGATGCATCCCAGGTTGGGTATTAATAGCATCTGACAGAACCAGGATTTTTTTATAGCGGTTCTTTTCGAATATTCTTAACGTCACTTGCATTTTCTTCTTTAAGTACAATGCCTCCTTAGGTAAATAGAATCTCAAAGAAAAATTATCCAAATGATATCAAGCTCGCGAAAGAAACCTGTACTGTATTAATATTACCGCCTTGCTGAAACGTGACATTATTTTCTATCTTTGATATCAAATTACCGTTGGCACTTATTCGAACAATCGAAAAGTATGAGCTACGTTTGATCAGCTCTAACAAAATCGATGCTCGATTTTAAGTATTCCTCGAGTCGAGAGTGCCGTCTCGTCTTGCGATCTACCTTGGATCGAGCTCAACGGCAACAGCCCTTAATTTAGCCCCTCGAAGCTGAGAGCCCTTCGACCTCGGTCGGTGACTTCCGCGGGGTTGGACCATCTAGAATACCAAGACTACTCGTATCGGTCAACCCTTCGACCGATCGATAATGGAATTTCTGGTCAAATGAAATTTCCCGCGTAGTTTCTCGATATTATATCTGAAATTCTAACGTCGAGGCTCCCGAAGGGCTCGGTAAATATAACGCGCGGCTTGGCTGAATTTAATTCACTTACGAGGTGGATTCTTTTCGGTCCCTCCCTCGCTGGAGCCCAAGATCTAGATTTGATTTAACTTGGCTCGAATATTGCTCGAGTTATTCCGGGACAGTCTTGATTCGATTTGCTCGGAAAAAGTTCGCTATTCTTTAGTTTCCACCGGGGGGGACTTTTAGATCCGATATTGATCATCGAACTCCTCGCGTACAGGCCTGCTCAAGAGTCCAAGGACGAGAGATAGATTATTTTCTATCGAACGATAGAACTTTTATTACATTGGCAGGCTTGGAGATTAACTTTGAAACATTGGAAAAATGCGAAGATATTTATTTGGTGGCTTGTACGTGAAGGTTAGTAGAAAAGAAGAAGAATGGTGAAATTTCTTTATAGTTCGTATAATATCGCTGACCATCTATGGGCCCGTGTAACTTTCAGATCGCGTGCTAATATGTAAATGGTATTATTTTACCAAATAATTTTAGTTTTCTCACAAGATAACGTATACGTCTTAATTATATGTCTCTCAGCACCATCGACCGCAAATATCAAACCGATCCCTTGCATGTTGTTCGTAGATTTGTATTATTTAAACAGAGTATGCTCCGGCATACTGGCATAGTGGTAGAAATGAATTATTAATAAAATCTTCATGGCAGGAAAGCTAAAATTACGAGCATTAAAAGTATCTTCCAAGCCTTCCACGCATTAAAATTCTTTTTCAGTATCATTCCTCCGTTCGTACTCCACGGTAATAATAAAATTCATAATCTACCGTTCGCTCCATGTTTGTCGGCATCTGGAAACTTTCGAGCAGCAGTGTACTCGCGTTTCGTCCAATTCCCGGAGGTGTCCGCCACGGACTCAGACTTCGGCTCTGGAGAGGACGATTCGAAAATGAATCGTGACTGAAATATGTATTCCCAGCGAGTGTGTTTAATCGCAAAAGTCCAACGTTCCCAAAGGATTAATTGGACTTCCCTCTTTTTTTCTCTCTTCTGCGGTAAAACTCTAGAAACTTCGAGTCTGCGAACTCGTCCAGAGAGGAGCTCTGCTCAGGTTCTCTCCCGAGAGAGGAAAAGAGACATTGCAACGGAGAAAGGCGGAGGATCTTCAAATAAAAGGATCGAGACGCGGGCGGAGCGTCGTAATTGGATCAGAAATCCATTATTTCAACCAACACCTCGGCGAATAATGATTTTCTGAAACACGAACCCGGAGGTGTTTCCATCCCCGAGGGCGCTTTCGAGGACCTGGGTCGAGTCGAGTTCTTCCCGGGTTCCATGGAAGATCGAACGATTATAGAGACTTCGGTGCGAGCTCGAAACCGCGACTAATCCAGCCTTTGTGACTACTACAGCAGTGATTAACACCTCCGCAGATCCGATTACATCCTCTCTTTGCTTCGTTGATTAGAATTTCAATTTCGTGCCGGCCAATCGATGGACCGAACAAATCGACGATTTCCCGGTGACGTCGAAAATCAAATAAAAGACGTCACCGGCTGTTAGCGTTCGTCTGTTGAGCAATAATGGCGCGGAGAGGTCTATTTCGATCGTTCAGGGGCAGGTCTGACAGGAAGTCCGGTTCCAGGCGCATCCGTCGTCGAGGCAGAACCAATCCCAAGTGGAGTACACGGCTTTCCCAGTTGCAGAGGGGAAGAGAGGATCCTACGGACCTGCCAGGGAGATTAATTAAATCCCATTAACAACGAGGATGTTGTCGCGAATCCACGAAATGCATCAACTCTGTCTTTCGTCTCCCTAGTGGCGATTGGCCTCGATTGGTCGCGTCCAGTTCGTATAAGGAATCACGGTTGATCCTTGAAGAGGTCACCGAGAAATTCCATCCTGACTGATCTTCGTGTCGTTTACATCTTCTTTTCGAAGGAGAATTATCCAGTTTGTTATTCATGGATCGCGGTATTGGTTCGAGTTCCTGTTCATATTGGATCCTTGGGGATTGGATAGGGTTCTTAGAGTTTCAAGGGTTTTCAGGGTTTTTAGTTCATCGCTGTAGGTTTCATGATAACTTCTGTTGGTTGATGCGGCGGGTTCGGTACATTTTTGTGAGAGGATTCTATATCCTCAAGGCCTGTGATGTCACGAAGCTTCATTGGTGAGGGTTGATTTCTTTAGCTTCCAGGGATGTTAATTTTCGCAGGTATTGCAGCTTCAAGTTCTGATTACGGGATTAATTTCTAAATAGATTCGTGACTCTAGATTTGATGGTACATTTTGTTGGTTTAGTGGAGGTTCGAAACAATTGTGAGAGGATTTTGCAAATTTCGATATTCACTACTCGTGACTGATAGCTTCATCGAGGTGGATGCTTGTTTCTTTAGCTTCCAAGGATGATTAATTATTTATCGACGGCATTATAGCTGTATAGTAGCAAGTGCTATCGGTTCAGAGATTTTCATGTGATCATGAGTGCGACTGGTTAGTTAGTGGCGCATTTCGAAGATTACTCGAGGTCCGATCTCGGCTATAAACATTGACGATTAGAGAGGATTTCGGATCTTTCAATATTGCTGAACGCTCTCATTCGTCACGACGATTGCGTGGACCCTCTCCGCTGCTGATTAGTCGGTAGTTCAAGGCTTTCATCGTCACTCAAAGCTGTCATTGGTCGTGACGCTTACGGTGAGCCAAAACGGTGTCTGGTTAAGTTCTCGAATCGGCGAGCGTCCTCCCTGTCTATCTTCAGGATCGATCTCGACGTTTCGTCAGGATTCAAGCTGGTTC